TCTCACTGTTGGAAGGTCCACTTTATAAGCTTTAATTTTGTAACTTGAACAATTGTTTCTGAGATGACAAAATGTAATCCATTAACTAGTGATTTCCTACTGTTTATTTTTTTTCTGTAAATCTGCATAACTTGTACCCTTTCTCTGCTTTTTTTTTTTTCTTTTTCTCCTTAAATAAAATTAAACAAAAACAAAAACAAAGCTGGGGATTTAGCTCAGCAGCATAAGCATTGCAAGCATATGGTCGAGAGTTCGATCCCGGTACCAAAAAAAAAAAAGACTAGAGGGTACTAAAAAGATCAAAATATAAACATAAAGTAACTTGGGGCTGGGGATTTAGCTCAGTGGCATAAGCATCTGCCAAGCAGGCAGTCGTGAGTTTGATCCCCCATGCCAATAAAAAGGAAACATAAAGTAACTTGCTAATACATTTTAGGTACCATACCAATGCATTCTACAGTGGTTTATGCATGTGAAAAGAAATAAAATCACATTAACAGAATGTAACAATGATCCTCTATAAGACAAATATGAAATTTTTCAAAATACATCAAAATAGAAAGCCATCTTCCAAGTTTAGGAAATGGTATAACTTTTTAAAGAAAAATTTGGTGGAGATAATTCCTTAACATTTTGCTCACCGTTAATGATAATTTGATGCTCACAAGTGATGTTGATCTCAATATCCGGGGAAAAGATACAAAAACGCTGGAAAAAAAATAAAAACTGAATAAAAGCAAGCTGGAGAGATGCAAACTTCACGTAGAGAACTACCTTTCATAAAATAAAACCATATGCAAATTTCTAGAGAAGGCATGTCCGGTAGACATAACACAAAAGTCAAGCATAACCTTTGCATGAAACCTGTTGGGTATCCTCCTCACAATGGGCCAAATCTCCACCACACTAAAAGTAAAGAATTTAGGGGCTGGGGATTTAGCTCAGCGGCATAAGCGCCTGCCTTGCAAGCAGGCAGTCGTGAGTTCGATCCCTGGTACCGATAAAAATGAAAAAGACAAAATAAATAAATAAATAAAAGTAAAGAATTTAGTTTTCCATTTCCTTCTAATAAACAAGTACTAAATTACCACTATTTCCTTCCCATTCATTGGGCAAAAAGCCATAACTCCCAGAGATACAAGAAGGCCATGTAGGACCATGTCTAAGGCATGCTACTCAGTAAACTAAAAGAAAAGTAAGAACCTCTTTTCTCTATTCCATTGTCATCTCACTAGCAAATCAACAACAGGCATCAAGAAATATGAAACAAAGTGCAATTTCACACATCTGAACTGAACCTAAACCACAGAAGACTAAGTAGGTTCTTGTCACTGTGGCATGTGATTCTTCAACCACCTGCTCAATAATACCTCTTCAGCTGCACAGCTGCTGCCAATTCCACATTCGTTGCTGGGCAGGTGCTTCGGTGAATTACCTGTTTTCTAGTGAAAAGAGCCCTTCAATGACACTTGGTGGACCCAGAACCTGCCAATCAGTGTCACCTATCTTCATTTTGTTTGTCACAGCCAATTCTGTCAGAGAGGTATCATAAAGCACATTTAACACACTAATGTGATTCTGCATTTTGTACAGTTTCCTCTTCTTTGTTTTTTTTTTAAGAGGAACTGGTTTTTAAAAATCGAGTAGAAGTGAGAATTAAGCTGTGTCAAGAAAACTGGCCAAGCGACATGAGGCTGCCCGATCTCAAGAGTGGCCCCATCAGCCTGGCAGTATTCCCATCCACACCAGTTTTCCACAATGGAAGTAACAATTGCTCAGCTCCCCCTGGAGCAGGGCAAAGTGGCAGCCAAAGCACTAAGGTATTCAGCAGAGCAGGAAGGGAAGGCAAAGTGGGAGGTTCTGGAGAACAAGCATCAGTCCTATACACAGTCTCCACACCTGAACTCAGGCAGTAGGGCTGGGAGTCAAAAAAAAAATAAGGAGTGGCACAACTACCTGACAGAGCAATCAGGAAACCCCTCAACAAATTAGCGTACGCCAGTCATTTAGTTGCTCTATGTTAACTGCAATGTAATTACTACCAGGAGTCAAAATTATGCTTCCACATCCTCACACAAAAGTAGCACTAATGTGTCCGGCTATCTGCACGTCTCATAAGGAAATATTTCCCATCAAGAAGCTGGGGAAAATATTCCAAGTGCTCTCTGGATAATTTTTTTTTCATTTTTATCGGTACCAGGGATCGAACTCAGGACTACCTGCTTGCAAGGCAGGCGCTTATGCAGCTGAGCTAAATCCCCAGCCCCTCCAGGTGCTCTCTGAAAGACAGTCACAATTACAAGACTCAGGTAAGATTCCTTGTGGCAAGAGCCCAACTCTGAAACCACTACATCCAATCAGGGCAAATTTACTGTGAAGCTGCTGACTCTACAGTCACCTGACAGCGTGGGGAGACCAATGTTGACAGACCCAAAATAAGAAGGCTGGTCTCACTTCAGAGACCTAGAGGGCTCTAAGGTGGCTTTAAGAAACAGGTGTGCTATTAAAAAATATAATGGTGGGGCTGGGGGTTTAGCTCAGCGGCATAAGCACCTGCCTTGCAAGCAGGCGGTCGTGAGTTCGATCCCCGGTACCGATAAAAATGAAAAAGACAAAAAAAAAAAAAAAAATTATATATATATATATATAATGGTGAAGGAGAGCCTAGTCTCTATCAAAAGCTCAGCACCATCTAAGTGGCAGGCCACCAGTGAAATAAAAGGATTGACAGAAGCACCACAGACCACCTCAGAAAGATATTAACCAAAACCGAAGGCTGAAGTTCTTACTTGAGAACTCTCTGTGGAAATGCTTGGCTGGAGACAATGCATAGCGTATTGTTTATGATTCCCCTCTCGCAGTGAGTCGTATTTCAGAGCTCTTTTTAGGAAAAAAAGTTTAAGCTCCTAAATGGAGACTTCTTTTCTAACCTCAAATAATTTCTTACAAAATAATTGTAGAAAACTCACCTGCTACTGTTTGGGCACTTGTATAAGATCTACACAAGGACAAGATTCCTTCTAGGTTGTTCTCATTCTTCTCTCATTAATAATTCCCAAGACCTGAATGATATGTCTCTAGCAAATTTCTGCCTCCTACTGAGGCAGATAAGGGACTTCCTACACAATGAGCAAGTCCTCTCTTTTCATTGGAGTTGGAATAATTCTACAAGGAAGTTGTTTTGTTTTCCCAGCTTGTCAGTAGAGGTAAATGGTGTGGCTTTTTTGTTCTCCAATTATTGAGCAAGAAGTCACCATTTAAAAAAAGGCAGCTGGCCCTTGGCTCCCCATCCTAACTCTGCACAGCTTTTTAGGGGTGTTCCTAAGCCAAAAATAAAAATAACTGCCTGACTGCCCCATTTCTTTTTTCTTTTTTTTTTTAATCGGTACCGGGGATTGAACTCACAACTGCCTGCTTGCAAGACGGGTACTTGTGCCGCTGAGCTAAATCCCCATCCCCTAAACAAAAAAAAAAAAAAATTTTTTTTTGTCTTTTTCATTTTTACCGGTACCAGGGGTCGAACTCACAACCACACACTTGCAAGGCAGGCGCTTATGCCGCTGAGCTAACCCAGCCCCTACTGTCCCATTTCTTAAAAAAAAATTAAACGTGATGCTTCAAGAACAGAAACCTCCCCCTTGCAGGTCTTCCTCCTCAAAGGTCTGACACAAATACCAGAGGTCCCGCGTCCCAGACACTCCTGCTCCACAACTTACTACAGGCTAACCAAAGAGGCAGGCACGACACGGCTGGCACCCCCTATTCTTCTGAAAAAAAATGTGTGCCAAAGAGCGCTGCATTGTTCCTCTCTCAAAAAGAAGAGCCTCTCTGTCTGGCCTCCTCCAATGGCAAGGCCCCCAGTCTGGAAAAGGAAGAAAATGGCACTGAGGAGCCTGGGAGATGGAGCATAGCCAAAGCTCTCAGACAAGACTTGAACCTATGACCTTCACTGTGTACACAATAGGCGGGTGAGAGGGACCGGTTTATCTCTGCTGCAGCAGTTCTCAGCCCTGGGGTAGCACTCCCGATAAAATGACACGACTATTGTGTGTGGCAGCAGAATAGTCATCTCCTCAACAACAGCCTAAACCAGCACTCCCTCCCCCCAACACAAAGCAGCAGGGGTGAAATTAACTCAAGGCTGCACAGCAAAGCCTAATACAGGAAAAGAGGCCTGCGGGGGCTTAGGGACTCTCCTCAACCCCTGGGGCTCTGAACACATTGCAGAAAACAGGACAGGCTTCCTCTCGGTCTTTCCCACTCTCATTTAGGTAGGAAGCTGTTTCTTAGAGAATTTAATCATCTGTGATTTGTTCAGAAATATTCCCCCTGAAGGGCTCTGATCTCTCCTCCCCGTGTGATCCTAATTCCTAGAAGCTGAAATGACTGTTTGCTGCTGCCTGTTTCACAAACACACATTAATTGGTCAGATGTGTCTCCTCCTCCTCAACCCCAGAGGGAGGAAGGAGAATCTGAGCAAAGCGCAGGGATGAGCCGACCGTAATTACACATAAAGGGAAAAAGAGGGCAGCGAGACTTTTCCAAACAGGACAGGGTCACTAACCCTCCCGGGGGGGGGGGGGGGGGCGGGTAACAGTTAAAGTCCAGGCCCGGGGATCCCTCCATCTTGAAGAAAAGGACCCGCGTCAATGGGACCCGAGGCCGGGCAGGGGCGCACAGCCACTGCTGCCCACGCCGCCCGCTCTCCGGCTACCTGGCTGCCCCCTGCCGGGCCGCGCGCCTGTCGGGCCCGGCGCCCCCAACTCCCGGGCGGGCCCTGCGCGCCCCGCTCGCCCTGGGCCAGCCGGGACCCGCCTCGGATCCCCCCGGGCTCAGACCCTGCGCCCGCTCAGAGCCGAACTTCACCTCGCGCCCCTCCCCCACCGCAAGACCCCCGCCCTCCACTTCCTCCGCCCAGCCCCCTGGCTCCCCCAGCCTCCTCCGCGCCGCCCCGCGCTCCCCCTCGCCGGCCCCGGATCCACACAAAGCTCCGGACTCACCGCGCGGCCGGTCCCGGGAGCCGTCACCGCCGCCCGCCCGGGACCCCGGGCCGAGCGCCGCCGCCGCCGCCGCCGCCGCTGCTACCGGGCCCAGGCCGCCGCCGCCGCCGCCATCCGCGCGCGGCCCCTCCCCCGCCCGCCGGCTCGGCCTCCGCCCCTCCCCGCCGTGCGCCCGCCCCGCCCGGCCGGTGCCGCGGTGTCCGGGCCGCGGGTCCCTCAGTCGCCGCCGCCGCCGCCACCGCCGCCACGATCCAGGACAACCAGGGCGCCCCGGAAGATCCGGATGCTGGATCACCAGGCCTCGGATCCGGACTCCGTGCGGGCGTGGAGTCTGGAGCGGCGGAGCGCCGGGGGGAAAACCCGGAACCTGGATGGCAGAGTTCCGTCCTGGGTCTCGGAATGCGCGGTCGGTGCGGACGAGCCGGGATTAAGAGTTGCGGCTCGGGAATGCTGGAAAACCCGGCGAGCCGGTTGAGATATCAAGCCAGGAAACCTGAGTTGTACAGCCCGAACCTAACGCTCGCTCAGTGGACAGAGGGAAAATCTCGCCGGAACGGACTTCTCGCAGCGGGGACTCTGCACAAGCGCTGTCCCTTAAATACAGAAGACACTGTTTCCGCCGATGACCTTCCACTGCGAGGCGCAGAGAGGCCTCCCTGGGGTCTGTACGTGAACATCCGTCCGCAAATAACAGACCCGCGACCAGAGCTCATGACACTTACATCCGTTTTACCCCATAGTTAGCAAACCCCCTGAATTTTTTTACCCTTTGTTCTCATATTTTCGCCTTATGATTACCACTTATTTTTCTGTACCAAGCAAACATTTCTTATCCTTCTAGATCCCTTTTGAACCCACCATCCAGTGTCATTAACTCTTGCTTTTTTGTTACATAGTATTTAAAAGCGCCTCCCCCTCTTAATGCTGGGAATCTAACCCACGTTCTCTAGCATGCTACGCAAGCGCTCTACCATTGGGCCACATGCCTAGTCCTTACTAAGTCTTATTCTGTCCTTTTCAACCCACTATTCTATTGCTATCCATTGTAACTTTTATCTTGCTTTATCTGATTGCCCAACTAGCTATACACAGTAGGCATTCAGTGCCTGTTTACATTAACCCTCCCACCTATCACTTGTGAAACTACATATTCTTGACAACTTGCTCAGCTCCCACCTCCTGCCCGAAGCAAATAAATTTATCTTAATTCTCAAGGCTCCCCACTACTTAACCCCTATTATGTCTTTCCTGTGTCCTTGACCGTTTTATTCAACTTTGCAGTTATCTTTCCTTTCTCTGCTTATCCTGAGGCATCCTTCACTACTGCCACTTAAGATAGCACATGCCTGGGAGATAGAATGAGTCATAAAATCCCTTTACTTCTCATCTCTATCTCCACAAAAAGAAAAGAAGGGTGGGAAAGTTGAAAACTAAAAACAACACAGCCTGTCTGATCTAGAAACATAATCCCCTGTGGTCCACTAATATTCATTGTTCTTGTACAGTACAGGGACAGAACTGCTGCTAGATGACTACAAACTTCCAGTCTGCACTGTGTGCTGTTACAAGTACTGAACTAGTATGTAGAGAAAGAGGAGGGTTTCATGTTTTAAATTTACATGTGACAAAAAATAAATTTGCATGTGACATAATTTATAGCTAAATGTTTCAGTACTCATTACCTCCTGAAGTAGCATAATTACTGCATAGGACTCAACTATAAGAGAAGAAAGGGAAGTGAATTTTTTTTTTTTTGTCTTTTTATCAGTACCAGGGATCAAACTCACGACTGCCTGCTTATGAGGCAGGTGCTTATGCCGCTGAGCTAAATCCCCAACCCCAGGGAAGCAATTTCTACAGTTTGGTCAGAAAAGGCTCTCAAGCCTGGAAAAATCGCTAAAAAAAAAATTTTTTTTTTTCACTAAAAATTTCCAGTGGATCAGTAGTTCTCACTGGCCTGTGATCTGGTCTAGCAGATAGCACTTTTTGTAAAGTGAAAATGATCTGTGTCTGTCCGAATAGCCACATGAGACTATTTGAGCATTTGAGATAATGAGTAACAGTGACTAAACTGAATACTTAAGTTAAATTAATTAATCTATTTTATTTATTTATTTTGCAGTGCTGGGGACCAATCTTCAGGTCCAGGCAATCACCTGAATTAACAGTTGAATAATCACGTGGCTAGCGACCACTGTAAACAGTACAGCTCTAGACTCTTCTAACCTTAGGTATTAACTTTTTTTGCTCCCCATGCCAATTACTCTCTTCCTGCAATGCATTTCTCTACTAATTGAGTTACCATCCCCACTCCCATTTTTCTGAGGTAGATACATTTTCTAGGTGTTCTTTCTGGGTTGTCCCATAGTCACAACCCTAACCCTAACCAATTTCATCCCATGAATTAGGCCACATAAAGTGCACACACATAGTGGATGTTTATACAGATCTCTGTGTGTCAGAGGACGGCACTGTGGGTATGTATTTTCTTTCCTGCAGGAGAGAGTGGCAAAGCCTTCACAGGATGATTCTGCTGCTGCTGCTGCTCTTGGGGCGTGGGGTGGACCACCTCCCTCCCAACACAGTCACAGAAGCTGAGACCAGCAGATGTGTACTTGCTATTTGAAGAAACAAAATGCCTTCAGCACTGCACTTTCTTTCCTCCTCCAGGCCTAACAGACTGAAGTTCACTGGTTTCTCCAGTTTAATAGATGTCTGCTTTTTATTGGTCTCTCCTTGCTGGCCTAGAGAACAACCTCATACTGTCTCCATTTTGGCTAAGCGTACTAGCAAAAGGATTTTTAAATATTACTAAATTAAACGAATGTTGAATAACTTTTGCCATCACTAAAAAAAATGGAATTCACATAAATGAGCTTTAGTACAGACAGTAGTTAAAATGGAAACAGATTAGCCGGGAGTGGTGGCGTACTCCTGCAATCCCAGCCCTTGGGAGGAGGATCGTTCTAAATTCGAAGCTGGGTTACAAAGTGAGCCCAAGGCTAGCCTGAACCAAATAGCAAGACCTTGTCTCAAAAAGAAAAGTAGAGATTAAAAGTTATAACTCATAAAAGCCTATCACTTTATAATTATTTGTAAAAGTAATCTAAAGTTTTTTATATGCCTTCAGAAAAATGGGTTTTTATAAACCTCTAGCTAATTAAAAAGAGGGAGGGTACCTAGTTTTCTTTCTCTAGATTAGCTATAGGAAGCAAGACTCAAAACAAAACAAAAAAAAATAGGCAAAACAACAACAAACAACTTTGTGCATTTCAGACATCTCAGTGCAAGGCCATGGTCTCTAAAATCCTGAAAGAGGTCTCCATACCACTAGAAGCTTATATAAGTGAGTCTGAGTCCTGCCTGGAAAAACAATAACAAAAAAGCAGACTTCTTTAGTAACTATACAAATTGATATCAACTAAACCCAGCCATCCAAAAGGTAGCACAGATACGAGGCTGCCACAGAAAACCAACTGAGAAACATGAGACTTCCCTCAGGTCAGACTGTCTCAGAGTTACAGAGTCAGAAAGAAATGTAAAACACAGACAAGCTATTCCCAGGGAAGTTTGCACTCAGGTTGCTAAGAATTTCCACTAGGCTTTAAATTACACTATTCATCACTGAGCAACTGAGGTCCACCTACCCTCAAGCTTCTCCCACACTTCCTCCCTGGTGTCTCTCTGAATCAAAGAGAGACCTTATGCTACTTACCACCATGTGAACAGGCAGGCTTTCACAGTCTACCCATGAAAAGGAGAAGTTTCCAATTTATTCTGCCATTTACTCATGTGGTTCCAGCTGCATATTTTGGATGCTGAGGTGGGTTCCTGTAAACTTGGGAAGTTCTTGTAAACTTATCACAGCACACACAATGATTGCATACTGTGTTGTAGCTCCTGATAGATATCTATATATAGATATACATATATTTGGCACCAGGAATTGAACTCAGGATCTTGCGCTTCTGATATTTTTCTTTAGCCATACACACACAATCCATCCAGGTGGAAAAATCAATCCAGATGCCTGTGTGTGCAGGATATTTTAAATACAAGGTAGAATAGCCTCTTTTTTTTTTTTTTTTCCCCTCCCTAGGATTTTTGCCTCTTGCCTTTCAGTTTTATTTTGGTATGAAGACAATCAGATAACTTGAGCACAGAATTCAAAGTGTTCATGTTTGGTAAACCATTAAGTGTATAATGAACCCAGTTATGTCATTAATTGCAGGGTCTTCAGAAGGTCAGAAAGAGCCATCCTACACCCCACAAATGTGTGATTAGCTATCCTTTCCACAGAGGTTGAACAGAAAGAGAATACTGCATGTGTGCATCCCAGAACAAGACTCTGAAGGGTTTTCCCCAAGAGTCCCGAACGACCGGGTCCTGCAGTATCAGTGCCTTGAGCTTTGCAACAAGCAGGGCTCACAGTTGAATGAATATCAATATATAACAAGTGGGGGCGTGTCAATGCAAATACACACTGAATATGAAGGATTAGACGAGATTGGGCGCATTCAGGGTGGTATGGCCGTAGACGAATATGAAGGATTAAAGGGAAAATTAATCTGTTTCATAACACAGGGCACTTTTCCTCTTCATCTTCACTCTTTTTTAAGTCGTGCATACAACTGCTAGAGGGAGTCCAACTTCCCCAGTGTGGTGGTAGTGTTTTATAAAAAGCAGAACATTCACATTTAAAACTATGAATGTCCTCAGGATGCCAGTGACTGAGATTCTGATAGCACTTCAGAACAGTTTTAAAAACAAAGATCTTCACCATGTAGCTGGAAATCTCATTTCAAATCTACTTCCTGGGGCTAGGGATTTAGCTCAATGGCATAAGTGCCTGCCTGGCAAGCTCAAGGTCATGAGTTTGATCTCCTGTACCAAAACAAAACAAACAAAAAAAAACTATCTCCTGTTTTTCTAAAGATTATAGGATCTTGGGATATGGATGGTTAAATAAGGTGTAGTTTTGGCAATTATGGGTATTTGGATGCATTTACTGAAGAGATTTTATTTCTCAATTTGTTTCTAATTGCCCAAGCCAAGTGATTCTTTTGCAGTTCCAACAAAACAAATAGGGTGCTCCATGCTGAATTAAGCAGGTGGCCCCATTTCTTTCCAA